ATTCCCACAGAAAATACCTTTTAATTCTGGAAATGTTTCCTTTTACCTTAAATGTTTGTCAGGCTTCAGTAAAGTATTGATGCGATTGACTATCCAGCTAAAGAGACGCCCATACAGTGCTTTAGCCATGGCGTCTCGCACGTCGGTCGCTTTTTCCACCGTGTTGGGACGAATAATCGTTTCTCCTCGAGTCACTACACAGTGAGAGGTGAGGGCCTCTTGCAGTTCATCTGCCTGGATACACAGCAAGGAAGCACCTAAGATGTAAAGTCATAAACACAGCTCAGGGACAGATTTTTGAAGGAAAATTATTCATTGCTTTGTACTTTTCAAGTACAACATGTTAGGAATATGGCCAAATCAAAGTCTTCAGCTGTGACTAACGAGGGAATTCACACCAAACAACTGTCAGTACGTAATTTAGACACCAACTTCCCTGCTTTCACGTTAATAAGAAACTGATAAATAAGAAAGTAATTCAAAGCAAAGGTCCTGCTTAGGTGTTCTGAATTGCTTGATGATAACTGCTCCAAATTGTCTATGAAGAAATACTAGGGAATCAAGTTGACTAGGTCAGGAGCGTGAAAATTGTAAGATATGCATATTCCTCTCAGTTATAACCTGCCACTACAATCTCCTGCTATCTTTGCTTCTTCAGAAAAGGGATGTGTCTCTCCCAGTTGCATAATATTTTTCTATCCATGACAAGAAAACATGTAAGAAGATAGTATGAAGTCTTCATTCTCTTGCCCCACTATAGTTATTGAAAAAGAACAGCAACTTCCTTGAGTATCTGTTCCCTCTCTCCTCTTATGGCTCTTTGCAACCTGCAATGTAAGGCATCCCCTCCAAAGAATTAGTGAGCTGCATTTCCATGTGAACAGGCAGGGAGCAAATAAGGAGGCTGTGGGGAAAAAAAATAATAATAAAGAAAAATAAAAGAAAAAAAATTCAAAATGTCAATGAAGTTCTTCCAAACATCTTGAGAAAGAATATCAAAGATTTTTTTTTCAGGCATCTCCAGTATTTGTCATGTTTCCTGAATGCCATTAGCTGGTCAGTAAAATCAGGCACATAATATGCAAAACTCCTTCCTCTTCTATTTGAATTTAGGTGGACTTGTAATTAATTCAACTTCACTACTTAATCATTCTTGCAGAATTTTTATGTGAATACGGTTTTCATTGATAACACTCTTGTAGCAGAAAACATCAGTTAATAAAACAATAAAGGAATATAGTCTTAAATAATAAAAAGCCACTCACAATTCTCAAGGGCTACTGGATTGGAAATGTTGCTCTTGTCAATCATATGTTCAGATACCACTGCAGAAAATTCAATGTTACCCACATTTAAAATGGCAGCCAGAACACTGTACACACTTCCAAGTTCCTGAAAAGTATATTAAAAAGACGCGCACTTAATAGCCTGACAGATTTGTCACTTTGCTTTATGTGACCAGCATGCTATTCTGTCGAGCGTGTTATTTCCTATACCCAGGACAGTCGCTTTCTCTCATTTGTCTGACCCATGCCCACTACTTTTAGAAATACTTTCTTCGGCAGTTAATCCCTATTCTGTACTCGGCACAAGTTTCTTTTAAGCATAAGATCACTCAAAGACTGCAAGACAAACCATAGCCTAATCTCTATGCTGTACATGTCTATAGGACAGGACCAATATGGAATAGGGGAAGCACGGAACAGTAGTGAGCATAACCCTCTTACATGAGAGGAATTCAGAGGTTATTTATGTGTCTGCAGGCACAACCCTGACTAAAATTTTAACACTCAGATCAACAAAATTTCAAAAATCTCCAACTAAGCTTTGTGAATCACAGAAACAACAGTGCTCCCAATGATAGCTCTGCTGCAACTCCCACTGACATCAATGGACA